CCAAACTACCAAACTGAGTGCGCCTCGGGTTGCGCTGCTCGAAATTAGCTCTGCGCGGGGTTCGCCACCCTGCGCTGCGCCGGGAAACTAGAGCCCTTTGACTTATTTCCACCCAGCCGACAGTGGGACTTATATTCATTGTGCCAACAGTGGCTTGGAAAACCGCCCATAACCGTGTCACATGCGGAAGAGGGAAGGCGGCTGGAGTTCCTCCAACATTTGCGGTTAGATTATCATATATTTTTATTGACAAAAATATAGGCTGCTTCAGCTGATTTTTTTTATGCGCACATGTGCCCCTAAATATTTTTTACAGTTCGCACACACATATTTTTAGTCACGTGAAACGCTCGGCAGCCTAAATCTTTTGGTCAAATTAAACTATGGCGGGCCGCCATAGTTTCGTTAATTAATGGGAAACACTATAGTAATCTATGACCTATTACATTTTAAAAGTAACCTTGCAAACACTGGTGTCCAGTGATTGCATACTGTAGTATTTCATCAAAAATAGTATTAAATTACTACATACTGTTGTATAGTAAATGGTCCACAGCCTTTTTATTTTAAAGTTAAATGTATTAATTAATTAATTTGAAAGCACTTTGCAATCTACTGCCTGTATGAGCATAGTATAATGAGGGGGAGGCGGAGTGCACTACTGTTTCGATGCCGAATTGTTCACGTCTGCATCACGATGCATCTAAGAATTAATTATTTTACCCACCACTACCCCCTCAGTGTATTACACTGAAAGTGTTTGGTGTAAACGTGGCACACTTCACAAGTAAGACATCTGGCCTCAAATTCTGTATGTATTGTGGAGCAGCCACGGTGAGCAGTGGTGAGACAGTGGAAATTTGCTACTAAAGTTAGTTACCACTGACAGTTAAGTGCTATCACCTCAGTACAAAAAGATTCAAAATGCCTTTGAGGACACATATATGTAATCATTGGATTTATGAAGAAGGTGTAAGTCACAGACTGGCTGTACTGTTGTGGCTCCAAGTCTCACAAGCTGGTTAAAATGGCATCATGCTGGTACCACATCATAAGCCAAATCAGTCATCGAAACCTGGACTACTACAACAGCTGCAGTCTGAATCAACTGCGGGAAAGTGTGACTCATTACACGAAGATGGCCATTGAAACAAGTGGTCTGCAAATGTAGCATTGCTATAACTGTGTCTTGAGCCCATGGACGTCTGGAGAGAAATTCTGGTCCTAAAATGTCAAATAACGAGGACTGGCAGAGGCAGAGGCAGCCATTTGGTTGGCTCTGATGTTGAAATCTCATACCCACAGACTGTTTTCTGTTTTAAAAAGTAATATTGTAAAAAGCTATAAAACACATCCACAGGGACCCATAAATACAGAACACCAGATAAAGATTTTTGTGTCTCCTGTGCAGCTCAGGTTGAATTGTGCACACAGTATTTAACATTACTTTATATTATATATTACAGCTTATCCTTGATATTTTATTGCATGTGCTTGAAGGGGATACAGAATATTTTAAATCTTATAAATGAAATGTTCAAAGAGCAGGCTAGCGAACACTTGCCCTCTTCATTATGTCTAATTGGGAACATGCACTTAACTTTTTCTGATGTCATAGTCTGATGTCAAAGCAGTCAATTGTCACATACACTATTGTCTCTACTCTTCACTCACATGACAACTGGCCTTGATCACAAGACCACCTATAATAAGGGAAACTCTTCTATGCAACCTAAAACGTCCAACATGAAAAGGAAAGGATGTTGTAAGATTGCAGCAAAGATGGCAGTGTCAAAGCTTAGTTACAAAATTGTCTTGTAACAGCACTAAGGCTTTGTCTAAATATCAAACAGCCTGACAGAAGTACACGTTTCTTATCGGAAGTCTGTCAGACACAACTAAGTCAATACAGGCCAGAGGGACAAATCCTTTAGTGTGATTATCATCGTGTACAAACAGCTTATCAGCTGGTGTCCTGGTGGATCAGTGTCATAAGAGTTATAGCATGAACACTGATGTTCTCGGTTTGAATCAGACTCTGGACCATTGCAGCATGTCAGCCCCCACACTCAGTGCTTTTTCGAGAGGCTGAGAGGAGTGGTTCTATGAATGGCAGTGTCAGTCTGTCGGTCGGTCAGTTGGTCAGGTGTTCCACCACTTTGTTTCAGACTGAAATATTAATGGATGGGATTGCCATGAAATGTTGGTCAGACATTCATGAACCCCAGAGAATGAATCCTAATGACTTTTCTCCCAGTGCTACCATGAGATAAGGTCCATATTTATAATTTTGAGTGAAATGTCTCGACAATTATTGAATAGATTGTCAAGGAGTTTGGCACAGACATTCAATTGCCCCTTAGGATGAACTGTAATAATGCTGATGATTCTCTGACTCATCTCCCATCAGCCTCTGCTACTTTTTTGGTTATTGCTATTCAGCAAATTTTAGCATGCTAGCACCTTTAACATGACATGTAATCATGATAAACATAATACTTGTCAACCTGTTAGCATTGTCAGCATAATCAAGCCAGTTTTATTTATATAGCCCAACATCACAATTTGTGTCAGGGGGCTTTACAGTCCGTAGCATATGACACCCTCTGCCCTTGAATCCTTGCAGCAGATAAGGAAAAACTTCCCCCAAAATTAAAAAAAGGAAAATAGAAGAAACCTCATGAAGAGCAATTAAGAGGTATTCCTCTCCTGGGCTATACAGTAGATATAGTGTGTAGAATAGAATGTAACAGCATAGGCGATCCAAATGAAAAAAATGATACAAAGAACATGAACATTAACTGTATGCAACCAATGTAAGAATGTTGCCATGCTAGAATTAACATACAGCTCAAGGCACTGCTGCACAGTGTAGCCTCACAAAGCTCTTAGCGTGGCTATAGACTCAGTGTTCCACTGTAAACTATTAAGAAAAAAAAGAAAAACTAATTACACAGCTTTAAAATGACCAGTTTCATCTATTGTGGAAATGCCCTTCTCATCATTCTTCTGTTTTCTAAGAAGCACATTAGACTTTCGAAATTCAGACTGAAAAGACTCAGGGTCACATATTTAGCATCTGTTCAAGATTGCAAATGCTTCTGTTGAGATTTTGTTATTTTCTCAGCAAAAACACAGTACCACAGTCAAGTTTGCCGTGAAAATAACAAAACAGTAATCTACCATCTAAATTCTGAAAATCAATTATCACAGCCAAATGACAGCTAAAATCAGTAGTAGGGGGTTCCTAGCTTTAGTTACTCAAAACAAAACTGTGTTAATCCACTACATGACTTTTCTCCAATTGTTGACATACTCTGTAGTCTCTGTGGTGACTGCGTAATTAGATTAAAGGTGCAGTCAGCAATTCTAATCCAATACGCGTTTTGTCAAATTAGGGGGTTGGTTAGCTGTCTGTTCTTAGCCTGGGAACCAGATGAATCTGTGAGCTCATGTTTCATTTGCTTTCCCTCCCATTCAGACAGATTTCAGCTGGCGTGGGCTGGGCTGGGCCAATCAAACTATTTATTTAATATTATACAGGTTTGACACAATGATTGACATAGGAGCGTCACCAGTCCAGATTTGAAAAGTCACATGTCACACATTTCGCTTCTCTGATTTGATGTGTTTGCAACCAGTCTGCTCCATGCAGTGCAATGCACCAGGCTCATGAAACTCAGATCAAACTGTCAAACTATTTCAGAGATACATTTTAGTGAACTGTTTAGCTGTAATTACAGCAAGTTTGTGACCAGGCTGCCATTTTCTTTGCTGCTTAAAAATGGACCAAGCACCATCCCAACTTGCATGTGTCGCTTAGCACTATGTCACATGTTTCGTTGCTCTGAATGGTTGTAAGTCTATGGAATTGCCTCCAGGGGCATTTTGGTTTGCACCTGTTGATAACACCCCGTGGAAATTGAAAATAAACTGAGAGGTTCCAGACTACCTCACATTTGGATGTACTCTGATGATGCCAGGCTAGTCCAAATCTGGTGTTCATAAACAGCCCTGGCACTGTAAGTGGGAAACAAACAAAGTTGGACTGAGCCCCACAACACTATTCCAGCCAATCAGCAACAGGAGGCGTTTGCAGGACAGGGGAAAGACCATGGATGTATAAAGAGAAAGGCAGTGGGAGCAAGAGAGATGGTAAATCTGGCACATGCTAACATGCTTAACTTCACATTGAACATTAACAGTCTTTCTCCAGGATCACCAACTCCCCCTTTAACTGTGGAATGATAAACATACTCACGATTGTGACAATCAAATACAGATTACCTCCCCATTATCACCAAATAGTCTTAAAGTTTATAGATTGTCTTAAATACCCACTTTCAAATGTTTTTAGAGTTGTTAACACATGGACATATGTCTGCATCTGTGGCCATCTCTGTGATCATTTGACAGATGCAAAACATTTGGCATTGGTCCATTATGAGCCCTTGAAATTAGTCATGCAGACTGCTGACCCACATTTGGGACTTCAGCTGAGGGAAAAGGCAACAAGGAAGTTGTAAAAAACAAAAGCAAAAAAAAACATAGGATGTGGGGAAGTACTTGAGGGAAAAACAAATAGCCTTTGGCTTCTTGTTTTGCTTATGAATTGTCATCTTTTTATTGGGCCTACAGTTTCTTTTTTTTTTCCAGAATGCAATAACTGGTTTATAAACTTAAACAGGGTCAGACAGGCTAATCTGCTGTCTTGCTGGAAGAGAGGAGACACCATTTCCCCTCACCTCTTCTACATGTGATTCATACAGTAGACTGACAGGTCAATTCATGTACATTTCTCACGATGTCAGTCTCTGACTTTTGCGAGTTAACACCGGGCTTTTCTCTCTGGATAAATGTGGACATAGCCTGATAGATTATAGGCTACTTGTCATGCTTCCATGGCCAAGTGGTATTAGGCTTCACTTCAGACTGTACCATTCACACTTCTACACCCGCGTCACACACATAAATTACACATATAGATCAGTCTCCCTTACACTAGTCTAAATGACATGTAGTGGGGGGCTATTATGCATTTAGCACGTGTTAAAGATTACAATCAGCCCCCTCCTCCCGGTCACTACAGGTTTCTTTCGGTTGTGCTGCACAGCCGACTGCTTATGCTGCTGCCGTCGTTAGCCGAGTATTGAGCTACCAGCTGACCTACTTTCTCTGCTCTCAGCCACTCGGTCCTGTTTACAAGCCACTGCCAGCGGAGGATGTGGAGTACAGTGCCTGGAAAATAGACGGACACAGTCCGCAACTAGCAAAGGGACCACGGACGGGAAATTTGACCGTGTGTCGTTGGTAAATTAGGGCTGCCAAAGCCACGGGCAGCTCACCGGCGATTAATAACAGCGCGTTATTAACTTAGGCGTTGTTATGCAATTTAACGCTTTCAGTGCGCTCGCCTGGTCAGTCTGTCGCTGGTAGTTGCACTCGGCTGCTATGCTTTAGTTTCCTTTAAAAAATGACTAGATTGATAAAAGTTAAGTGTGGATCTTTTTTTCTGCTGGGGAGCCCCTTTCAAGGTACGTGAGATTTAATTAAAGCTTTGAGTTTCGCGTCACGAGCGCTGAATGTTGTCATGTTGCTGCCACTCGCTTACTCTGTTCATAACATCAAAGTTCACGAGTGGCCTCTTTGCAAATTAAAGGAGAGGGGGTTGACTGCATGATGAGCCCCTTTCGAGATTTTCTACGAGACCCAGACTGCGCAGGCTAAACATATACAGTGTTTGGTCAAACACAGGAGTCTGTATTAGCAGCGTTACACATACACAGCGCTCTTGAATGCTGCTTACATGTTTTCGGCTCACAGTCATCAAGTGCCCTGGTTACAAGGTTGAAATAACCTATTTTTCTCCATTGAACCCCTGCTGATGACATTGATGGCAAAACACTGAAAGGATTTTCGTCATTGTCTCCTCTAAGACGTCAGATAGCAAAAATGTTAAATGTCACAGGAAAAGAAATTCTTAAATAATTTCTCAGCGGGCTTAGGTCAGGCTGATGTTACCCAACCTGGCAGCTTTAAGTCTACTGGAGTTCACATTTCTCTGACTAACTCACTGTTTTCTTGTTCACAAAGCATTTTGGCTTCTTATTTGCAGCTGACGTATCCTTGCAGAGAAAGAGAGAGATTTCCTCTGTTTGACCCGGGGGTATAGTGTGGCAGAATAACTTATTTACTATAGGCTGTACTCAGAGTTAAAGGGTCATTGAGTGCACTCATGGGCCTTCCCGCTGTTTGTCATTTGTAGGTGTGTAACCAATAGAAGTATTTCCTGTTTCCTTATCACTTAAGGGAAGCTTTACCTATAGCAGACATCCCAACAGAAAACTGAAACTTTTTTAATTTAGAAACTAACCATATGTTTTTACATGTTCAGATTTTTGCCACTTTGAATTTTCATTAATGTACACACCTCTGTATATGCAAATAATACTGTATTGATGGGTTAATATGATGATATAAGCAAAGGACCTGCAGATACATTTGTGATCACATATGTGTTGGACATACTTCGTTGAGTTTATCCATTTGTAAATAGCCTGTATTTTAATATTTAACTACAATAACTGTCCTCTGGGGAATTTAATGAGTTAAGGGATATGATTTCATTTATTTACATGCAATGGAAGCTAAAGCAACCAGACCTAGATACATGTCACACCAGACATTTTCAGTTTGGCTGGAGCTAAGCTTGTACAGACCCAGTTAATGTTTACTTGACAGCTTGGTCTGTCGGCTCAAAACCAGATGCAGGTGGAAGTGGTCAGGCAGTGTAAACTTTTACACCAGCAGACAGTAGCAGTCACTACCCCATAGTCTGTGGTTGGATTAGTATCTTAAAGTAATCTAGAGGCATAAGAGCAGCAAAACACTGTGAGCCCTCTGGCCGGAATACCGTGGTATTTTTACCAGTGGCAACAACGGGGCTAGTATTGTTTTCACCTTTTGAGTCTGTTTGTGTGTGTCATTGTGGCAGAATGTGTTCCTGGTGACATCCAATGTTGAGGGAACTACCAGTGAGGCAGTTCTGAGTACTTAACCAGGGGTTATGTCTGTCTGTCTGTCTGCCTGCTTGTGGACAGACTTTATCACCACAATAGCGTCACAACCACGTGGCAACCTCTGGGGCTGAAAAATGAAGCCAACACAGAAGTGCCAAAACCTAGTTTTCTGAATGGCCGCTTGAAATTGGCTCCAGAAGCCAGTCAGTCCCCATGTTAAAATGCCCAACTTTACAGCAGAAATAAACATGTTTACTGCCTGGTGGAAAAAATCTGTTTTAGTCCGTATAGCTAATTTCAACATTCATGACAACTGTATGGGGGTGAATTTTACATAACTAATCCATTTACATTACGCGTAATTAAAGACGGGCTGCTTTGAGTCATGGGCTGTCTGTAAATAATGTCCTTAGCTTCTCAGTCAGATCCACCTCCTCGCTCCTTCACAGTGCCAACCACTTGCCCAAATACGGTCACTTCGGGGTCCAAAAAACCAAGATGGTGACGGCCATAATGTTGAACTTGAGGCTTCAAAATGGTACTCCACAAACCGATGGGTGATGTCATGGTAGCTACAGTATGTCCATAATTTTTACTGTCTATGGTCTCAATTGCTCAAGATACAGTCACGAAGTCTGAGCAATGGCGTGGTAGTAGGGGGGCAGAAAGGAGGGAAGGGGTCATTGGGACTCCCACTTTAAGCCCCTGGCCCACATTTGTTTTAAGTCGCGGATCACTGTATCGCTGATGGAATGATCCCATCGCAAGATGGTCGCTAGTTGCAGAATGTTGTCGGCTGTCAGAGCTTGCAGACTGCCTTTTCTCATTTGCAGTCTGTTCTTATTCTTGTGTGTGTGTGTATGTCTGTGTGTGTGTGTGTGTGTGAGAGAGAGAGAGAGAGAGAGAGAGAGCAGGTGAAACATTAGCATGATAAACCTGGTGAAAAAGTCCCCTCTTGATCGTATTAATCATCAGCAGCACTTAATGGGTGGATTTGATTTGAATGGATGATATTTCAGGGAGCAGATTTTTTTTTACAGAACCACTTTCAAATAAGCATAATTTATAATTCATAACTAATGGCTTTATGAGTTTTTGCTCTATAACTTATCATGGTGGGACATGGCAGAATACAGTCAACAACAATAAAATTATTATGGCAATGATAAAGATAAATTTTATTGTGAGCTTTTTACTGCTTTGCTCAATAACCTAGTAACCGTTAATGGAGCCATTATTTACATCTTACCCAGTTTGTCTTTTGCGGAAGCAGACAGGTTAGTTTGACAGACATGGTCTGTGGCATTTAAAGTGTCTGTTTTGAAACATCAAGAAATTGAAAACTGCTACAAGTGTCAGAGCTGGTGATATTGGCTGGGTTTGAACTTTTTTAGTAATAATACATAAGTTATATGAGTCACATATAATGACCATTTCTGCTTTGATAAAAACAAAGTGATGATGAGATCAATATCTATTCTATATTAATTATGTTGTGATAAGGCTTCTGGAAAATCAATTGAGAAACTGGACAGGCCTGTTTTTGGCTGATCTCTGCTTTTATCTGCTTCATGATTTTAAAATAACTGAAAGATTTGAAAGGCAAACAATGTGTTAAGCTGTCTGTGTGACAGAACTGTGTCAGATCTGAAGGTACCGCTCAGTATGCTATGCATCAAATGACAGTATGTGCATGCCATCAATATGGGAAAATCTATGCAAATTCACATGTGGCAGGAAAATCATTGCAGCTGCAGTTGTTACTAGCTGAAACTGACAGACTCGCCGGCCACGCCTCAATCACTGGTGCCAAACAGGTATTTTGTCTTTGACTGCTTGAGGGAAATTCTGCTGTCAACATCTTTCATCTGTACCCAGGCCTTCAACGTACAAGCCATTATTATCGTGAAATTACCGATGGTATCAAAAGCAAACCTGTGTGCTTTAGATGTATGATCCATCATCAACTAAGAGCTAGGTGTTGATAATCTGTGAATGAGGATCTGACAGATAACATGACTTTATTTTATTTTTTTTTATTTACAAGATGACAGACTAATATGTTCAAAGACCTGCACCATTGTGTGCATGAATCAGTAAAGAAGTAAAAGTGAAGAGGGAGCAAGGGCTTTCAAGATATCCAGAGGATTCCATCTTATCGACACAGCATGGAAAAAAATATGTTTTAAAATCTACGGTATACTAGTGATGTTTGCCTCAGGAAACCTAAGGAGTACAACATTATATGCCACAACAAGCTATAGGGTGAGGTGTGAGGCTCAGCTGTGGCAGCAGAGGCTTTTCCTCCATTAAACTTTAAAATGAAACCAACACTCTCTTAAGAAAGACACCATTATTCTTTTGTTTGTTTGTTTGTTTGTTTTGTTTGGAAGGTTATGTACAATAATGAAGTAAGTTCTTGTCAGAGTAATAATCTCCATCTCCGTTACAGCCTGTTTACATTTAGCCTTAACCATGAACTTGAACTTCAGTGTACTGGCTAGTGTCAGGAGTTCAGGTTGCTTTAAATACCCACAGGCACAAGTGTAACTGGACTCTGGTGTTTTTTAGCTGTTTAACCTCAATACGTGAAAAGAATGCAGGCTGATATGTGAGGTTTCATTTTACACAGCTTTGCGGAGTGACGTATACGGTAAAGTAAAGCTGCATAAAGTGATTCTTGATGCACCTAAAATTGCATATTTTCAGTCAAATTTCCATCTAGACAATTTATAGTATCAGTTAAATTGAATTATCAATATTTTCCCCCTTTTCTACCAAAAATATGCACTTTTTTAAACATTGAAAATCCCACTAAAATAGGCAATAAACCCCTTTCCTATTGCCAGTAGACCTAAGCTGTGAACATGGCTCTGCAGTTGACGTTTAGGCCTATGCCCTTTTGTTCCCTGGGGTGTCACATTCAATGTCGGGAATGCGCTGGAAAACAACCTTGCTCCCATTTTTTTCCCAGTGCCCACTCGTAGTATTGAAGCAAGCGATGAATACCTGATAAAATACCTAAAGAGTCATTTCACATGGGATTAAATGTCGATTGTAACCTTTCTAACTAAAGACAAAAACCAGGTATTAGTGGGTTTTAGTGGATTTTTTTGTCCAGTGGGAAACTGGGTTTTCATTTGTTTTATATTTCTTTTTTTTCATGTTTTTTTCATGATGATTTTAGCTCCTCTATCAATATTTCAGGAACTTTATTGGATTGAGGAGGTTTCAGTCTCTGTAACACTGTAATCTGTCTAAACAGTAGTTGTTGGCAGTAAGCGAGGACATCACTGCAGTAAATGCAGAGGTTATGTCTGCTTTAGTGTTTACCTCAGTGACAGCAAATGTTTTTCTTGCTGAACATGAAAAGAATGTCATGATCAATTCAGGAAACATTAAAATCTGAATGGCCCAATTAAATAAATAGCTTGAATTTTCTACAACAATTTAGGATTGCATTCAGCTAAACATCCTTGAGTGCAACGCTTCTCCCTGCTTTCTTTTCTAATGGGTTTGTGTGTGGGTAGGAGAGGAAAGGAGGAGATGTTGGGTTTGTTAACATGAATTTAAGACTCATGGAAAGGTGTGTTTTAATTGAAATGGTTTGTGCAATTGTGCTAGTTCCTACCTTCGTGTGCATCACAGATGAATGTGAGATTATAAAGGACATGAAAAGCTCAGTGTTAACATCTAACAAAACTTCTATTCATTCAGCGAACCAAAAACAAAATGCCAGCTTGTAAAAATGTTAACTTTTCCCCAAACAATATGTCTAGGCAACTAAACTAAAGGTTAGGAAAAGATTGGGCACATTGAGACTACAGAACTATTAGAGTATGATTGAGGTTAGTTAATGTAAAACACTTTGAAATGTTTAAAATTAGGTAAAGACTATATGTATGCCTCAAGACTGCTGACATGAAGTAGGAGAAGTGGATGTGAAACTGGGCTTTGTGTGTTTAAATTAAACAGTACATCCACCCACTTAAACAGTACATCCACCCACATAACTTCCTGCATTGGAACTAAATTCTGTCAGCCAGAGTAAATAACAATTGCAAATTAATTGCATATGAACGTAATCTATTGAAGAAATCAAGGCCGCTTCACAGTCAAAGCCTTTCAGTAGTGTCTGCTTTGTGCCATGTCTGATTTCTTTACATTCAGAAGTGTATTCTGACCCATTTGATTTTGGTGTGTAACAGAGAAAATGTGAATCAACATATGAACTTGGGTTACAGAGTGTAAAGAAGCAACCAAAAAGAAATTGTAGCTTAATAATTGAATGTAGTGCCAAACAGGAATTTGGATCCTGGAAGGATTTTACTGTGTTACATAAAGCGTGAAAGTAGAGAGTTTGTGATGTGGAAAAAAATAGCAAATTAAAAAAAAAAAAAAAAACAGCGATTCTGTTATCTGTTGAATTAAAAGTAAGGGGAACATATGAGCATAACAAAAACTGTGAACAGCAGGGCCTGGTTTGAAGGTATAAAGCTGTATTTAGATTTGACATGATTTAGCCTCAGGTCAAAGAATCAGTGAGGTGCTTTTAGCTTAAAGCCACAGTTGATAGCTTTTATGATAATATATGTGTTGCATAGTCATTATATTCTGAAAGAAGTATACAAGACAGATAATCTGTGTGAAAAAGGTGTCCCTTCTTTTCCTACTGCCTCTAATGGCATTTGCTAGAATCAGACTGTTCACCAAAAACAACCAATCAAAGTTGAGCTCTAAAATGAGAAAGTTTTTGATAGTTGACCAAGCACCGCCCACTGACCAGACAAACTTTCTCATTTTACAGCTAAACAGTACACTAAAATTCTGAAAACATTTGGGATGAGAAATAGGCAATGCAGTCACAGAATCTTGATTCATATTTGATCATTGCTGCCTAATTTGACAGTAGGACTGCAGTTTCCGAGCAGTGATTGACATGATTGACTGTGACAGGTTCAGCAAATATTCTAAAAAGTTGTTGTGTTTTTTTTTTTTTTTTTTAATTTTTTTTTTTTTTAAATAAACGTTACCAGCTGTAGCTTTAACAGTAGTCAGTTTTGGCATATCAACTGATGTAGATTGTATAAGACATTAGAGGTGTTCTTAACTTTCCAAGTCCTACAGGATTTTAAATCGGATTATATCTCCTGATAGAGCAGGAATTTCAGAACTTCAGTGAAGATGCAAATCAAAGATGAAGTCCCTAGTAAACAGCGATATTAAACATATGTATTTGCCATTAAGACAATTTATATATGTGTAATGATGAAAAAGGAGGTTGCGCATCAACAGTGATGATACTCAGAGTGCTAAACCCAAAAATCCAATATAATCAAAAATGTAAAAATGGTAGCACATCTCATATTGCCAAGTTAAGGAGGCGGACATTGTACTCACATTTGACTTCTTTTAATGGCTCACATCAAAAAAACAAATGCTAACGTGCTTCGGCACATGGCCTTCTTCAGAGCGTTTTATATATGTATACTTTGGTTTATTCTTTAGAATAACATTTATTGTCTAAGGTTGATCCTTACACATTATCAGCAGTTTGCAGTATCAGATTCTTCTGTTACTCCTTTCTAAAATCCGCTGGCTGTTACTGGCTTGCTTCTTCCTCCTCTTATATGTTGCACCACTTGAGAAGTGTCTTGAGCCGCAGTGCCCTGCTTTGGCACTTGAAATGTATCTTTTTTTCCCCCCTTGCACATCCTTTCATCCATTAGCTCTACCTGCTTATCCTTCAGAAGGCTGCAGGAGGACTGGAGCCAGCTGACATTGGGCGAGAGGCGAGGCACGGGCTGGATAGGTCACCAGTTAATCACAGAGCAGACACATAGTGGAGACAGAACCATTCCTATGTTGACAGATTAACATGCAGTGCATACAGTTGTGTGATGCATAGATTGTATAAAATAATTGGCATAGCCATTTAGACGTCGCTCATAGGTTTGTGGACCAAAATTGTTTTGTGTACCAGGCTGTAAACATGTTTATTTCTGCTGTAAAGGTGAGCATTTTAACATGGTGGTCTATGAGGATTGACTTGCCTCTAGAGCCAGCCTCAAATGGCCATTTTAGGAACTGTAGTTTTTTTTGCTCTTCCTTGTTGGCTTCATTTTTCAGTCCTGGAGGTTGCAGCTTCAAGTGGAGAAGGGGGATATTGAAACCTAAGATAAAAAAATTCTACAATTAAATAACTCAGTTTCAGTATTATAATGTTTTTCTTTCACATTACAAAAGGACACAAGACTCTGTCAGCTCAGGCTAGTTTAAAGTAAAGTACAGGATGCAGCTTTTCTTAGAGAGTTGTACGTTTTATATGATAGTCAGTTATTTAGGGTTGCACCACATCACTCTGAACTTTCCATGGAAGTATTCCACCTCTGACAATGGGTCTCATTTTGATTTGAAATCATGGAAAATGCAATGATGGTAGTTTCCCCAGAGGCTTCTTGTGTACATTACCCAGTGTAACCCGGTCAAACTCAGACAAATACTGACTGCCTGAATACACATCACCTACTAACTGTAATAATAACCTGGATATAATTGATATATAATGTAAGATATTTCCAGACCACAAAACCATGAGCTAATTTAATCAAGGCTAAAGGAAAGAAGTGTGTTTAGTTTTCCTACTGGAAACATGACCATTTAAAGTGGCTGGGAGTAAAACAACTTTGTTTCTGTGACTATTTCAGTCAGTTGAAATTTGGTGACAGAGATGACGTGTGTTCTGTTAACCACATAAAAACTGTATGCAGACAATTTATTAATATCTGCAATCAAATATAGTCATATGTTGTTTCACTGCCGCTGACCAAGGCTCCAGTGTGTGAGCTCTCAGTTTGGTTTATAATAGAAGTGTCTGCTCCGTGTTGTTTAAGCTTTACACAGAGGATGTGAAGGAGGTGACTGTTCTACACTGTTTTTTATGCTGGGTTATCAAAAGAGGTTTTTGCCTCAGACGTTTTCTAGGTCAGGGGAGCTCCTCCTGTGCAACAACACTTCTTTAGTGATGAGGCACGGTACTCAGGTTTTAGCTTAGGATTGCTAATGCACTTTACATTGTATTATTAATGGTTATCCAGCAAAACACAAGACCTATTATAAAAAAAAAAGAATTTTTTGCGCAGATGGATGGAAGATCTTCCTGTATTTAATGCATGTCTCAAAGAAAATACTTGCTCATGTTATCATGAGTTTATACCGTTTTCATCCTCAACAGCTTGGCCACATACGGGATGCTGTAATCAGTTTTTTCTCTGTTTTAACAGGATTTGGCGTTTCTTTGGTGAACTCGAGGAGGTGTTGGGCAACTGGTCCACGGTAGGTTTTTCCAAAAGAGTGTTCAGACGAGGTCAGCGCGGATGGGACTTATAAGACTTCAGAAAGGGCCTGGTTGGGAAAAGGAGTGAGTATGGACAACCTTTCTGACTTCGGGGGCCCCTGTCCATCCAGCCGCAGGGAATGGGAGTGAGTAGAAAAATTTAACTTTGCAATCTTAAATGTATTTCTGTTTCATACGCAATTCTTTGTATCTACACATTTTATATGTGCAAATAATTCTTCAACATTTGAGTTATTCCTAATAAAGATGCTACATTAGTTCATATAAAGGAGGAAAGAAACCTGAGCTGAGATATGTCTGCATGTAAATGTTGTGAAACATGCATTGGAGACCCCATTTATTCAGCTTTAACAGGCTTCTCATGTGAGTCCAATTCTAACATGATGATAAGATGCTGATGTATTCAGCCTGGAATAACTTGGCTTTGAGATCCACATTTTAAACAGCTTCCTTTATGGATTGTAACCATTCATGGGTAAAAGGTTAATTATTGGTTAATCATTAAAAGTATCTAGAATACAAAATGCATGTTTTGCCTTGGTGACAGTTTTATTTAAGCAATACATTTTGGCTATTTTTGATGCACAAGTATTAAAAAAAACAAATGTGTTTTATTTATGAAACACGTTTCTTCACTATTGAATTTCTACCATCATTGCCTGAACATTGCCACTGGCTTCTTTTGGCTCGCTGATAATATAGACAGGATGTTCAAGAGGATTTAATACAGTTTTTGTAATTTTCTCCTTAAAATACCTTCTTTATCCCTCTTTTTCTATCACTATGTCATATTTCAGTGGTTGGCAAATTTGGATGAGCAGCATCAGAAAAATGTCTGTCTAAAAAATGGCCACACATACTTTTCTTTTCATAGCCGCTGAGCAGTTGTTCAGTGTGTTCCAGAGATCTATTATTATTCCTGTGAAATGAATGGCAGTAAAAAAAGGGAGCTGAACTGCTAGTAAGAAAGTCTGAAAAGATGTTTTTCAGTCAAACTATGGCAAAGTTAGTGCTGAAGAGAAATGGATGGGAATGTGGGTTGACTCTGGCTTAAGGAATAAAATGATAGGAGACAAATGGATGGGTGAAAGTGATTTCTAAGAAAAATTCAGTGAACTCTTCCACAGTTTTTAATTGTCAGTATAAAACGCACAACTGTAAAAACACATTCTACAAATTAATTTAGTAAATTTAGGCTCTGAACAATTGAAGAAATCTGTGCCATGCACATTGCTTAACCCCCCAGCTATATTTTGCAGTGCCATCTGCAAAGCACAGAACATTTCTCACAGATGTGATCAGAGCACTTACATCTGTAAAGGGTAATGAAGCATTTTAATGAATCACTTTGCGGCTTTAATAATATTGATCTAACACACTCGCACACAGAATTTGGAACACAAGCACACCTCTAAACTTTTCCTTTGCTTATTCTTTGTTATACCGGTAGTCTCCATGTTGCACTGTATATCATGACAATGAATCCCCCCTTTTTTTTCTAAAGGCATTATGCAGTACAGTTCATGTATTAATGTAGCATTGCATGACTGTTTTATGCTCTGGCCACAACAATAAACCAAATCACTGCAGACACGGACACCATATTTTCATATTATTATATGATCGTACCTCATTACCAGTACATCATTTTTTAAATTCAGTTTTATCTATACAGCCCAAAACTACAAATCCTAAATTTGTCTCAGGGGGTTTGACAATCTGCTCTGCAAACAACACACTTTATCCTTACACCCTCAAGACAGATAAGAAAAAACTGCTCGAAAAAATTATAGAAACTTTAATAACATAGTAAATATACATCTCTAGCCAATACTACCATGTAAGTATTGTCTTATTTCAATGAATAAATAAAAGACAGGACTGTTATTACAATCTGTATATGCAATATGCACAGAGTTCTACACAGGCCTAAAACTCAAACCTGAACCAGAAGCTTTATTTTGGCTTCTTAATCTATAACTGACTGTTAGCATTCCAGGTTAATGCTACATTCTTTCTCTTCTTCTTGCCAAAAAGCAACACATGACATGTATGGATGCAGATAATTGGCACAGTTAGAGAAAGAGAGAAATTTCTCAACAGATTGAAGTAGAAAATAACCAAACCCAACCTAAGCCTGAAGCTTTACACAACAAAACACTTGGAACCCAACTCACACCCAGCAGGACCAGTCAAAGTGTCAGGGTCGGGTGGCTGAGGTCTAGTGGCACTCCTTGCGATTGCGTACGTGTGGTTATAGTAACATGCACAGATTAACTTGCTACTGGCTGTATTCAGGTTAAGTCTAATATCAGTGTGGCTGTTTTCACATACCTCAGTGCTTTATGACTTTATGGTTATGTCTTTTGCCATTAATGAGCTTGTTGCAGTATATTAAACTCCACTCGTGCTGTTGTGGCCTCAGATAGTGAATATATACTGGCAGTAATGTGTAAAAACAGTTACACTGGCTGCTGGCTAAGGCCTCCCTTTGCTCTGAAAGGTGTCTGTCTTCTGATACATAACATGTGATTTCACATAGTTCTTGTTATTATCAGACTGTGTGAGCCTGCGTGTGTGCAGATAGCATAATCCATAAAAATATACTGTATATGGAGTAGGACGTTGACATGCCACAGTGACCTGATGTAGCCAGCTGATCACTATTTGTCTCTGTTAACCTCCTGAATTTGTCTGACTCATAGAAGACATTTTAACATATCATCATGAATGCTAGCCGTAACATGTCATTTTTCTAGTATGATGAGGCAAATGTGTCTGCTGTGAAAAGATGTCTTTGTTAAAGCATCAAAGAAACTACATTTACTGTGTCCCTCCCTGTTTTTTAGCACCAACAGCTGCGTGGATGATTTGATGGATGAAGATGAGAAAGACAGGGCAAAAAGGTACTCAGTCTGGTGTTTATGTTTGTGTTTGTATGTCTGTCAGTCTGGACGTCTCTCTGACTGAACATACAGTACGTTACATGTGTATGTGTCTTCCTCTGCTCCCTCGGGAAACTTGCATCTTTGGTGTTTTTAAAAGAACTCTGAAATTTCAGTGTCACATTATGGTTAACAGTGAAGCCCATAAAAGTAGAGGTGTATTTGAGTGCGATATTAGATTAAAAAATAGACATAATTCAGGTAAAAATGCATTCACAAGTGATGATTTCTTTTGTCACCTCTTGCTCCTCCTTCCTTTCAGCTGTCATATGTAATGTAATATTCCTCACATTTTTAGAGAAAGGTAGATTCCTTCTTAATAGAAGAGCTCCGGATGTAATACTTAATATCTGGTGTCTGGCCATGGGAAAGTTTTTTTAATTAATATGTATGAAAGAAGCAATTTCTAATCTCAACAAATGAAATTTGTCCTCGATCCTCCCAAATACCTTCATTGATCCCTTTGATGAAATGTGTAGAAATGAATTCATATAAACCTCAAATGCACTAAAATGGTAGATGTTCTAAAATATTTTGGCTCTCTATAATTCCAGATTAGTTGCTATTAAAAGAGCTGTCTCAAATCACACAGCTGTCACTCACACACTGTTCAAAGAACCGCAGTTTTTGGCACTTTCCAGCCCTGGACATTGCCACATGATCACAAACTTTATCCTTTCTCTTATCTAAGCTGCATTATTCACTTATGGACACAGAGGATATACAAAACAAAAAGACAGACACAGACGTAGAGCAACGCTAGCATTCTCTTGGAGTTGTGTTTTTGCCCACCTGTTGAATGTATATCCAATATTCTCTTTTTGTTTCCACCATCTCCTGAGGAAATAATTCTGTCTGTCTGCTGTTTGTTGTGTAGCGGATTCAGGGCACAGTGGGTTTATCAGAGCTTGTTTGCTGAAAACAGCTGCTGAAAATGGTATTGATTAGAGTAAACATGTGGGTTGTGAATCCAACACAGTGAGCTGAAAGAGGCTAAAGAGTTGAACTACACTCCTTGCAACTTGATTCAGTAATACAAATAATTTGATGATGCTTTAATCGAGTGGAGAACAACGCCTTTTTGAGAAAGGAATCAAGATGAAAATAAACCAGTAGGCTGTACAGTAATTGCACTGCTGTGTTCTGTAATACATCCCCATGCTGCTGTTACCTCGTTTGTTTCTTTCTCTCTCCCTTTTTGGTCGTCTGTTGTCAACTGTTTTCATTTTTTTATCTGTCTGAAACTAAATGTGTCTCTGCAGTCTTGGCAGGCTTTTGAAAAAAGTGATGCACAGTCTGGACAGGATAAATAAACCTTAAACTACAGGTGTTTCTTTGGCTAAGCTTCCACCTGCGATTCCAATGATTTATAATTGTTCTCTTGTGTTGACTGCTGTAGGGCATCTCGTAACAAATCAGAAAAGAAAAGAAGAGACCAATTCAATGTGCTCATCAAGGAGCTTTGCACCATGCTGCAGGGTCAAGGCCATCCGCGCAAGATGGACAAGTCCACCATACTGCAGAGAACTATTGACTTCCTGCAGAAACAGAAAGGTAGTCAAATGTAACATAATCTTTACACAGCATGTGTTCTCAGTTTGAAAAATGTTAAGGGACACCTTTATATGTTCCTTCTTTATGTCCATTATTACCTAATGCACTTCTTCGCAGGCAGAAGTTTATTAGATTTAATCTTCCTCCTTGTCTTTTTCAGACATCACTGCACAGAACGAAACTTGTGATGTGAGACAGGACTGGAAGCCTTCGTTCCTCAGTAATGAGGAGTTCACTCAGCTAATGCTGGAGGTAAAGCTCAGGAGGATGTTTGTGGAGAAGCCCAAGATGATTAAGCTCTGACATTGAGTAACATTGTTAATAAAAAAGAAAGAGGAAACACTCTCCCTAAAATGCCCATGGAGAGCAGAGCAACATGGCATGATGAGAATTACATTTTCGACTGAATTATATTTTCCCTGTTGTTAAAGTTTACACCTTTTCCAAGTGGTTATCTAAAAGCAGTGTCTGTAACCTAAGAACTCCTTAAGTGTGGCAGGAGTACAGGAGGCACTTTTAGGCAAATAGAGCACAAGAAATATTTTGTAAGGCTATCACAGATGATGATGACATGTAACAACATAAGAGTGCAATTTCTCATTTTTCCCCCTTCTCACAGGCCCTAGATGGTTTCTTGGTAGCATTAACTACAGATGGAAACATCATATACGTATCTGACAGTGTGTCTTCACTCATTGGCCATTTACCGGTAAGTTAGGAAGCTGAAATAAGTTATTTTATTCACTGGCTTACACTGTAATTATCTGAGTATGTATAAAGTATAAATGCCGCTTGATTAGAAACAGACCAATCTTATGTTTAGCTATATTAATTGGCTAATATTTGACTGCATTTAACCCCAGGACAAATTGGAGGGAGGCTTTTTTATGTTTGCCTTGATGTACACATTTATTAGAGGTAGTTTGAGCACATAGAGATTACAGTTCATTGCCCTCAACTTCTTTCATGATAATGAATGAAAATGAATTTTATCAGTTACTGCATGTGCTGGCTCAGAACTGCCCTAGGCTCTGAGTTATTCGAAACTACTTCAAAAGGACAGATCACCGCAAATTCAAAAATACATATTTTCCCTCTGACCTGTAGTGCTGTTTATCAGTGCAGATTTTTTTGGTGTGAGTTGCTGAGTGTTGGAGATATTGGCCAAAGAAATGTCTGCCTCCTCTCAAATATAATGAAACTAGATGGCTTGGTGTGCTCACGGCACCAAAAATATATCTGAAAAACTCAACAGCAATGTCTCTCCAGAAATCATGACCTGGTTACTCAAGATAATCCACAGACCTTGTTGTGAGCACTTTAATGTAGGAACTATTTTCTTTCTACTGAACTATACCCACCAACGGTATCACTAGGGGAAACGTACATCTACTCAAGAACGAAAGGTTCGTGCTCATGACAGTAAACATTAATGGCGTCCTCCTCAGCTGAATTGTTATGTGAGCTAACTCAGTGATTCTAGGTGACCAGGCAGTAGATGCACGCTTTCCTTCTCCACAGTGATAAGGTTGGTGTGTGTAATTGGTAGAAAAAAATAGTTCCTACATGACACTGCTCACAACAATGTCTGTGGATTATTTTAAGTAATCAGGTCATGATTTCTGGAAACGGACATTGCTGTTGAGTTTTTCAAATTAATTTTTTTGGCACTTGGCATCTCGTGCTGTCACTAGAACAAACCTCTCTTCCATGAGTAGATGCACACATCCTTCTGCACAGTGATACAGTTGGCGGGTGTGGATCAATAGAAAGAAAATAGGTCCTATATGAAACTGCTCACAACAAGGTCTGTAGAGTATCATGTGTAAGTGTATTTTTGGCACTTTGAGCACCACAAACCTAGTGCCATCTTGTCCCCATTATATTCAAGAGAAGGCAGACATCTCCATGGCCAATATCTTCAACATTCAACAATTCACACCAAAACAATCTAGACCGATAAATAGCATTGCAGGTAAATTGAAAAATATGTATTTTTTAATTTTAGTCTGAACTGCCCCTCCAAAATACTTGCGGTCAGAAATCCTCCATTGTGTAATGATTATGTCACCAGTAATACTACATTGTTGTACATGACATACTCCCCAAAAGACTGACCATCACTCATGTATCCTTTTGCACCAGTCAGATATGGTGGACCAAAATATCTTGAATTTCCTCCCGGAGCGGGAACACGGGGAGGTGTATAAGCTGCTATCATCCCACATGCTGATGACTGACCCCATTGCTGCTGACTTCCTTGACAGTGAGTAGCCTACCGGGCAGCCTCTCTGCACACGTCTAGCTCCTGTCTGTTTCTAACACCACATTGCGTGTTGCTGTCTCCCATATCAGGAGGTCAGAAGTTCAGTGTGTGGGAGATATACTGTTTACATAATAGTCAGTGTTGTCATTTTTCATTTATTTTCTTTTGTCTGTCATACAAAAACAAGTCTTGACCCTTGACATCAGTCTTGTCAAGTCCTTGTCTGAGCATTTTTCTGTTTCCTGAGGTTGTTTTCACAATGATAACGTCACGTAAACCTCTTTATATATAGAGAACAGGTTGCCGAATTGGGGTCTAAAGTTTATTGGATTGCTGATTAGCGTTGAACTATGATTAGCCTTTTTGCTAATAATAGGAGCTAGCTTAGTATCATAGTTAAGACTTTAAATCACTGTTATGTTAGCACAGTAATCCAAAGCAATGTAGTATGTGGGGCTCAAGACACTGACCTTAATCCTGTGTTACTATTGGGCTTTTCTGAGGAAGAGAGATGGCAAGGAGCGAGTGTCTTGGCCTATACTTGGAAGCCTAAATAGTGAACTGTCACAGAGCTATGTCTGGAGCGATCATCAGCTCTTTGGCACACTTTAAAATAGACATCCATCTTATTATCTTTCTTGAATAAAAAGGATTGTCTGGATTTTAAACAAAATTACTGCCTCACTGTGAAAATTATGCTGAATCATGTTACACAAGAAAATAATTTTTATATTCATTGGCTGAATTCACATAAAAGGCACCTTCAAGTTGTGCCCAAACTACCTCGGTCTGTCCACTTAAAATGTTTTGAGCTTCTGTGGAATAGTCACCGGCCTGCAGCTGCAAGCAAATTATGCACACTTCCATCATAAATTTGCAGGAATTTTTTAAAGTCTTGTCGAGGTCAAAGTGTTCCATTAGTAAGTTTCTCCTTCAGAGACCTCACATTGGAGAGCGACTGAAGCTTAAAATACATTTGTTATGCAGTCAAACCATAACGCTGCTTCTTTTTTTCTCCCGATGGATGAACGAAACGCATTCATGACTTAATTAAAATATCATGTAACCATTATGCCATCACCCTTTGTTGATGTGAACCCTGTTTAGCAAACATTATCTATTGTCAGATCTATTGAAGTGTGATGAATACAAGGTTTCATATGAATTTTAATCTTTTCTTTAGCATAGAAATTGCACTTTAGATCTTTTATTCTACCTCTTTCCACTCTGTAACCACTGTTTGTTAGTGTCATTCAGAAAAGACAGACATGACAAGAAGCACCTCATTAAGAAGAACTGTGTCATGAATAGGTTGTTAACCTTGAGATAAATCTGCTGTTTTTCAGGTGAGGCACATATTGAATTTTGCTGTCACCTAGCCAGAGGTAACATTGACCCAAAGGAGCCGCCTGTATATGAGTATGTCAAGTTTGTCGGAGATTTCAAGTTTCATAACAATGGTAAGGATTTTTTATTTTCTCCTTTTTCAAAAGACTTGAATGAAAAATACAAAATGTATTTCTTACCTGTAGTGCTGTTTATCAGTCTAGATTGTTTTGATGCAAGCTGCCGACTGTTGGAGATATTGGCCATGGAGTATCTGCCCTCTCTCCAATATAATGGAACTAGATGGCACTGCCAAAAAATACATTTACACAAGATACTCTACAGACCTTGTTGTGAGCAATTTCATGTAGGACCTATTTTCTTTCTACTGAACCACACGCGCCAACTGTATCACTGTGCAGAAGGAAGTGTGCATCTACTCATAGACGAGAGGTTTGTTCCAGTGACAGCACGAGGTATAAACATTAATGGCATCCTCCTCGGCTGAGCTGTAGCGTTAACTAGCTCAGTGGTGCTAGGCAGGCTAGCAGTCGATGCACGCTTCCTTCTGTGCAGTAATATGGTTGGCAGGTGTAGTTCAGTAGAAAGAAAATAGTTTCTACACAAAAATGCTCACACAAAGGTCTGTGGATTATCTTCAGTGACCAAGTCATGATTTCTGGAAAGAGGCATTGCTGTTGAGCGTGGAGTGCTGTCTAGTTCCATTACATTAGAGAGAAGGCAGACATGTCTATGGCAGACATGTCTATGGCCAACATCTCCAACACTCGGCAACTCACACCAAAACATTTATAAATAGCACGTAAAAGTAAAAATATATATTTTTGATTTGGGGGTGAACTGTCCCTTTAAGATTCAGTAAGATGTGTCACTTTAGTGCCGTTAAGGTTAATTGACCTCTTAATTTTGCATTGATTTAACAAACTAAATGGAGAAGAAAAGAAAGATATGTTTTCATGGGATAAAACTGAGATCAATATCACAACCAACTTTTTGCCTTCGTGTACCTTGTCCTGTTTCATATAGTGCCTACATCTTCTTGTAACGGGCTGGATTTGACGTTACCAAGAAGCCTGCAGTCATCGCTGGAGGAGCAGGTCTGCCTCATTGCTACTGTACGATTAGTCACTCCACAGTTTCTAAAGGTAAGACCTTGTGCCTTTGTTTCTCAGTTTGTTTGGCATCTCAAAGAAATATAGCAGGTGGTACGGAAGTCAGTGATTATCACAATGAGCTATGGTCTGAGGCATGAGGGGGATTTTGTTTGAGGGATCACACATTTTGGTCCATGTGAACTCCATCGTGTCAAGCACTCTCTGGAGATTTCATGCTGCACACTGTGTACCTTCCAACTGATTAGATCATTAGGATTCATCTGATCCCATAGGTGCTCTCTGAGTTGAAATCTGGACACTTGGCAAGTTATTGAAGTAAATTAAAGTTGCACTCCTGCAACCTTTCTGAGATCTTGTAATGTGGAGTTTATTATACTTACCTTGACCCTTTTCAAATATAAAAAGAAAGTTAGATGGAGTCAAGGAAAGTCCAAAAAAATGAAGGGTCTGACAGGTCTTTTCATTATGAATTTGTACCCATGCCTTTTGTGCAGCCTTAAAATGTGCTGGAGCTCAGAGAGCAAAAGTGCCAGAAGAACCAGATATATTGGACAGGCTTCAACTCTCCCCCTCTACTTATTCCAAAATGTAAAAGACACTGATTACACTGATTTGCCAGATGGAATGACTGTAACAGAGAAGTCTGGACCATACTGTATGACACATGGAATATTTTTTCCCTCACATTCTCAGACACAAGACAAATCCAGTGCAAATACTGGTTTTAATTTGCAGTTTTTGAGCTTACCATATTTTTCACAATTTCTCCCACAGACATCTTTCAGTTGTCATGTTCATCTGCTCACAATATATTTTAATGTTCAAGGTCACAGCTCTCAGGAAATGTTCAGAACATAAAAACAGTGTGTTTTTGACACAAACAAGTACAACAATGTGTAAACTAAATTGTCAGGCACTGTTGGCAAATGCATGACGCTAGAGCAGCTTAACTTAACTTGAGATATGGTTCATAGTACAAGCACTATACTATACCGAACAGGTAATGACAGTTGCATACAACAAAAATGATTAAATGAATACTTTACCCACAAATTGATCATTTGTGTATCAATCACTCACCACATGTGTTGAATTCGTAAAGAAGCCTATGTTTTTCTCGTTTGCCTTGACGGTGAACGAAGAATCCAAAAATTGAGGAATTCATTGATTGATTAAAGCCAAAGGGGTCTGTATTCAACAACAACAAAACTCTCATACAACGCTTGCGGTATAATGCAGTAAAATTAAAGTCTTATTCATCCAGTTGTATGCTCAGTACTTCCAAAACAGACAGACCTTTCCAAAGGGGAAATAAACTGAAATTGAATGCTCTCTTCAAAACCAGACTCCATTGACAAAAACACAAATTCTACCTCGCTGAACATGTGAGTAGCTGGTCTACTGCTGCCTCGATCTGTTAGTGTGTTTGATTTATTGTGTGACTTTGTTTTTTAAAGGGTGTTTTAAAGTTTGGGGTGAGTAAGTGATACACAAATAGTCATTTGGGAAGTGAAGTATTCCTTTAAATCTCCACAACGTTATATTTAAACTGAATACATTGTACTCATGACAACTGTACCAGATTGGCTGATAGGTGTGGACAAAATTGATGAGTTGAAGACAAAACAAAACACAAGGCATAACCTCTTGTTATGGCATAACTCCCCTAACTGTTGAGGCACAAAGAAAGTATTTTAAGATTGGTAATTCCTTGCTTTGCTGTGATTGTGACTTTCTCACTCTTTTGTTTAGGATCTGTGTAATGTGGAAGATCCTTGTGATGAATTCACATCCAGACACAGCCTTGAATGGAAGTTCCTGTTTTTAGATCACAGGTAAAAGATTTGTATGATTCCTTTTGCTGTCACTTGGCAGTGTAGCTTTTAGCAAGACTTTGTTTTTCTCACGTGTTTCTTTTTTGTTTCAGAGCTTCACCAATCATAGGCTATTTACCCTTTGAGGTTCTTGGAACTTCTGGCTATGATTACTATCACGTGGATGACTTGGAGCTGATAGCTCAGTGTCATAAGCAGTGTAAGTAACTCTTGTTGCTTCTCTTTTATCATCCTCCTTCAGCACCACCAGTTCCAGGAACCCATATCTGAAGAATAGCTTGCAGGCAGGGCTGTGGTACTCAAATCCTGTCTGGAGACCACTCTTTTAAAGTACTGCACTTGTCTCTGTCTTGTGCCTTGTTGGGCTTAGAATTGTCTTGATGTCAGGCTATTTCAGTCAGCTCTGTCTGCAGTCTCTTATCCACCACTGCTGTTTTACACAAGTACAACACTTGAGCTCAGCTAATAGCGAATTGTTACAAACACATATCACAGTAACAGGCTGAAGCTGTCAATCTAGCGTCTATATGTAAGTCTGTTTCTCTTAGTTTAACATCTCTTTCAAAATTAGGCAAATTCTTGTTAACCTGCATCAGCCTTACACCAAACAACTTGTTAAGTGTTTTCACTATCGCAGCCAGATTTCCAGTGTTGGAGTAAAATCACAAGTTTAACCTCAGTTGTTGTGAACTTGCGTGATCTCAGTCGTTTGATGTAAGGTCGTCATGAAATTCAGTCCTAGCTGTCTTAAATCAATCCTCTTTTTTTATGTTGATGTTCTGACAAAATCTAACATGTTTAATATTATTTTAAGTTTATAATCTTGGCTCATGCATATAATTAAGTAATAAAGGATGTGAGCATTGTCATGAACCAATAGCTGTGCTCTCCAGCACCAAACAAGAAGCAGCAAACTGGGAGACAGTAAAAATGGATGGCAGTGTGGGGAGGTGCAAGAATATGAACAAGTCTTGGTTATCTTGTACAGTGGAACAGGAGGAGAAAGTGGTGGAGTAATGGAGTAAACAAGATTAGGTGTTTAATGTAACATGTAACTGAGCAAACAACCAGAACTTACTCTAGTGAGAAATCTTAATTTTTGAACGGTTTACCTCTTATTCCCACTGTCTCCTCCCACTTAAATAGTATAGCTATTCAGCCGAGGCTGGTAGCGAGTTGAGGCGACAAAATCCAAAGTGTAAGTTTGAATGCAAATACAGTTTATCTTTATTATTGTATGAATGGCAAATTAACAAGAATACTGTCAACATATAGCGCCTTTATCTTGTATTTCTAGAGTTATGTGTTTTTGTGGCGATGTAACAAATTGTTAATATGCCATATTTCTTAAAAGCAGTTTGGTGTAATATTTTAAACCAAGAGCAGGATGGGAAAGGTCTCAAGAGGAATCTAGTTGTAGTCTTACAAATAGTGACCCTGCAAGATCCCTAGTCTTTGCAAAATCTTAATGTGTGTGTGATGAAAAACTCACATTGTCTTTGGATGTGAGAGGGTGTCAGACTTAAGTCTTTTTAGAGTATTTTTAAAGTGTTGTCAAAGTCTACTAGTGTGTGTTAGACACTAGCTGCAGGCTGAGACAACCAGCCCCTCCTCCCTCTGCCAGTGGTGCCTGCAGGCAGTGAATCACATCAGCTGAGGGATTCCAAAACTCACTCAGTATTTTCATGTCAGTAATATTATTTATTTTATCGATGTTTTAGATTTGTTTCCGGTCAGATATTATTGAGTTTGCGTAACGTACACATATTTGTTTGTTTATTTATCTATCTATTTCTGTCCATTCCAGCTCTGTAATCACTTCATTAGCACTGGAAAGACACTATTGCGAGTGGACCTGGTCTTGGACTTGACTTGGACTTGATTAAGTTGGTCTGGATTACAGCTGTGGTTACAAGTTTCCATTCTTTCTTCTGTCCTCAGTAATGCAGTTTGGAAAGGGTAAATCCTGCTACTATCGCTTCCTGACTAAAGGTCAGCAGTGGATTTGGTTGCAGACTCACTACTACATCACTTACCACCAGTGGAACTCCAAACCTGAGTTCATCGTCTGTACCCACACTGTTGTCAGGTAAGCCTGATTGTTGCACCTTGGGGTACTCTGACGTCTGCAAAGGGAGGGATGTGTGCACTTTATCAGTGTTCTTGGATTTGGGATGTGTGTACGGCGTAGGCTTTCTTGACAAAAATGTGTTAAGATTCAGGTTAAATCAAAGAAACACTTGTCAAACATATTCTGTCTGTGTGCTGTTTTTCAGTTATGCTGAAGTGCGAGCTGAAAGGAGGAGAGCATTTGGCTTTGAAGAGCTGTCTCCACCTGAGATAGCTCCCTCGTCAGTGAAGGTAAAAGTTATGTGAGGTTTACAAGGTCAGCCTTTATTTGAGCTTCAGATGTGGCCCTCGGTTTTGAACATCCTTCTGTGTTCCAGGCTCAGGAGCTCTACTTGGACATCTGCTCCACACTGGACCCTCCGCGGGACAGAAACAGTGGTGCACGTTCGGTGTCCTCCCACAGCTCCCGGAAATCCTCCCACACAGCGATGTCAGACTCTGCATGTGAGTCATCCTCTGCTCCCTTAAGTGCTAACTCACTCAGTAGCGGGTCAATATGCACAGAAACCGGGCTCCTATATGGCTGAAGGGACTGTTGTGCCATTTAAATTTAGCTGGGAAAAATAGCATTCTTTGCTGTTGAGAAATTACAGATGCTAAGACTTTCCGAGGCAGCTAATGATGCGACTCCCGGTGTTATTCACTGCAGTAACAGTGATGAAGCTCAGCTCAGCTACATGTTTTTGAACATGTAGAATCAAATTGTTGAAGGAGAATCAACCTGACAAATCCAACAGTTGATCTGAGGAGACTGAGGTAGAATACTTCTGTAACTAAGCAGATCAGGAGTTAATAAAACACCTACCTTAATGTGGGTGACGATGCATCAATGATGAAATGTTTCCAAGGCTTACTTTAGCGTACCCTGTTTGTTTGAGCCTCCGGTCTCTCTGACTTTAGCTGCTCTTCCACCCACCGTCTAATGTACTAAGACACTTCACTTCCATCTGGATGTTTATGAATAATACGCAGTGGCAGACTCATTACAGTTGCTGTTCATAAACATAGCTGCTGCTACCTTCCCACACATAAATACACTTTCACTATTTCCAAAGACGAATTCATAAAACTGCGTCTGTCAGAAAAAAAAAACCTAGTAGATGCTTTCTTTTTTTTTGCTTCATTGTGCATCGGGTACAAAGAAAAAAAGCATCCGCTGAATGCATCACAGTTTGTGGGTTTCAGTCAGAGGCAGCATGAGGTGGCAATCAAGGGCCAGTGAATCAGCAGCATTGTTATAAAACCAGAAAGGAAGTGTATTTCATAAGTTTTTCTGCCTTTCCCTCAGAAAGGCTATAGTTACTCTGTTTAGGAAGAATTGACAATCCCCCCTGTAAAGTGGAAGCAGAGAAGTTTTTGGATTTAACTCTATATTATGGAGTAAATGTAGACTGTACAATGCAATGGCTAGAGAATAACGACACCATCTGTGTGGTGCATATGGCCACGTTCTTTTGGCAGCGTGTAGACAGCCTACTCAGCTGATTTCTTTTCTTACCCATCTTCCCACTTAACGGTGCTGCTAATGCAGAGCTGAACGACCATCTCCAGAATCACTCTCCTCCCAGCCAACGGTTTGTTCAACATCTGCCTGGTTAGCACGTGCGAACACAGCAGCAGCAGTTAAATGGTTCCGACAAACTTATATCACTGAAATGGCTCGACTATGTTGTTAACAGATAATAGGCTTTCAGTAATGTTAGCCATGTGATGCTAGCAGTTAGCCCTGTCACTGTGTGTAAGCAGGTGGACTCTCACCAACTGTCCCCACCCAGCTCTGAGCTCACTCCCACAGCAGTAGTCTTCTAGCAGAGGGCACTAAAGTGTGCATGTAGTACAACAAACCTCCCGCTGCTTAAAAACAACAATGCATTTGGTCCTTGCAAATGGAAATTATATATGTATTTATGCGCATATAGAGTGGGGAAATTATCTCTGATCACAAGTCATCACTCAAGACGCATGTGGAGACACATTCTAATGCCAGGTGGGAACAGACTGACTTTGAGCTCTCCACACAAGAGGCATGTTAATACCAGGTGGGAACAGGCTCAAAGACAGTGCCTCAACCATCGCATAGCCAGAACAGGAAGAGGATAGTGCTTTTGTTTTCTGCAGTAGGTATCGGTAGCAATCCCCAGTTACCAAAGAGTATCAGTGTAAGTTCTGTGTAGGTACTATCACCTGTAGCTGAAATGGTGGAGTGACTGTGGAAGAGAAAATGTAGTGTGTCCTGTGTCCTTGGCAGTAGTTGCTAGGCTCTGAGGAAACGGAGAGCGATCTGGTTGTCTTTGCGACAGCAGCGCCAACAGTAATACCAGTTGGGAATGCTGGGGGGAGGGCAAGTTGAAAAGTTTCCACTTTAAAGAGGACACATAACGTAAGAGAAATGCTATGTTCAGTGTATGTTCCGGTATTATTAATACAATAATGCCAGTTAAAATCAAATTGATCATGTGGCGTCAATAGAGACCTTATTGTTTTTTTGCCTCCGCACCACGGCATTATGTTTTCGGGTTGTCCGTCTGTCTGTCCCATTCTTGTGAACATGATATTTCAAGAATGCCTCGAGGAAATTTCTTCAAATTTGGCGCAAGCATCCACCTGGACTCAGCGATGAATGGATTAAATTTGGTGGTCAAAGGTCAAGGTCACTGTGACCACTGTGTCTATCTCATTCTTGTGAACGCGATATCTCAGAACAGCTTGAGGAAAATAACTTCAAATTTGACACAAACCTCCCCTTGGACTCAAGAATGATGTGTTTAGAATTTGGTGGTCTGAGGTCGAAGGTCACTCTGACCTCACAAAACATGTTTTTGCCATTACTCAAGAATACATACATAATTATGACAAATGTCACACCAATGTCTAATAGAGTAAAATGATGAAGTAATCGGGGCGTCGGTGGCTTAGTTGATAGAGCAGGCGCCCCATGTACAAGGCTGTTGCTGCAGTGGCCCAAGTTCGATTCCAGCCTGTGGCCCTTTGCTGCATGTCACTCCCTCTCTCTTTCTCCACACTTCACACTTTGCTTTCCTATCAATTAAAGGCAAAAAATGGCCAAAAAAAAAAAGATGAAGTGATGACATTTTATATCCCAAAAGCTCAAAGGTCAGCTTCACTGTGACATCATAATGTTCTGCAAAAACACTTTCTGGCCATTTTTCAACACCCTAACTCAGCAACAGAAGGGGAGACATTTGGTCAGAAACTGAAGTGGTGACACTAATCTTGGGTGGCCACCTTGGAACTGCTAATTGTTTTTACAGATGTGGATATAGACCACAAGTGCAACTTGACTGGTGCACGGAGGCATACAAACATGAGGCGGTAATTAGGTTGATAAATATTTTGTGTGTATCTTAATGAAAAATAGACTTTAATGCCTAATCTTTAAATGAAAATTATTGAACATAATCAAAAATGTTATTCAAATTTTCAACTCAGTCTTCAGATTAAAGGATGTATAATAAACTATCCCACATCTAGACTTTGAATGTATCTTGCCTTTGTTGTAGTTATCAGCTGTCATTTGACAAAGATTGACAGTTAGTGATAATGATCTAACTGAACATATCCTCAGTCCACTATCACTGAACTGTGTTAAGAGATGACCTGTCTCTCTTGCAGCAGCTAACTCCTTCACAGAGGCCTGCACACCATCATGGCAGTCTGCTTCCATTGGGACAGAGAAGGCATCTGCCAGACTCCAACCCAGTAGTTCAAAGGTTAGTTTGCAACGTTTACGTGTCTCTGTCTGTCTTGTGAGCTGAAAATGGTCCGTGGGAAACAGCAGTGCAAAGCTCATGCAGTATCGTGTCACAGATTGTGCTAAATTGTAAAACTTTGTCATTTTCCCTGTAGAATTTGGCACAAAGGCAAAATTCCTTTGACCTCGTTCCCCAACTGAGCCTCCCCCTTTCTCCTACCTGCAGCAAGCACTCCGCAATGGTTAGTGTTTAGACTTCTTCTCCTGCCTGTTGCCTTCCTCTCCTCTGTTTGTGTACAATATCTTATTGTTATGACTGTTGCCGCTGTATGTGTTTATTTCATCTGTTGCTTGTGCCTACAGTGTCTCCAAGCCCAGTTATAAGATTGTGTTGTAAAATCAAGAAAGAAAGATGGTTTAAAAAGAGAAGAAGCATCAGGATTATACTTGAAATGTGTTTTTTGATGTAGCTTTTTACATATTGTTTGTATTTTTCTCAAAAGAAATCACTCAGCCATTTAATTTTTTGACTTGCAAAACCAATTTCACAGAAAAAGTGGGAAGAATCACAAGAATAAGCCATTACATGACTCATGCTAACTGATTATCTCCTCATTTGCTACGTTCACTGGAAAAGAAAAGAAAACACATAACTGAAGTACAAAAACCACCAGGCTTTTCTTATTTCTTTTTCAAACTGCTTTTTGGGATCCTGTCTTTGAAGCAACAGCAAACACAGCAGCAGCAGCAGCAGCAGCAGCAGTCGTCGTCGTCGCCCATGTATCAGCTGCAACAGCCTCAGCTCTGTGTAATGAACCAGCTGAAGGAGCAGCTGGAGGAGAGGACGCGCATCCTGCAAGCTGACATTAAGACGCAGCAGCAGGAGCTGCACGACATTAAGGAGAAGCTTCACCTCGCTAATCTCCAGGTAACCTTCCCACAAAGATAAAGGAAAGATAAAGAAACAAAACTATCACCCATGGCATGCAGTACTAAATTTCACTTTAAAAATTTTTAAAAAAAAGCAGACTTTAATCTCTACATAAACAAATATTAGGCTTTTATCTATCACCTGTTAAGGAAAACCAACATAATACTGTGAGCTTACATTACTTAAGCCCTCACAGTAATGGTGGAATGGCCCCACCAAGAGGCCAGCACAAACCAGTTCAGTCACAAGTACTCTAACCACTATGACCCCCATACAGTTAACATGCACAGAGAAGAAACTGGTGAGTGTAGAAGTGTTTGATTAATAAAGACAAGTTGTCTATTTCATTGTCTGCTGGGTGCAGAGGTGACTTGAGATGAGCTGTGATGTAAATCACAAATTTCCATGCAACAGATTAAGAGTTAGCTAATCAGAATTAAACCTGGGGCCTCACCTCATTACAGAAAGTTCCCAAGTCTGGAATCCAATCTTATCTCAGTTTAGTGTGGCATTTAGGATTTTTGGTATTACAGAAGTTTGCTAACTGCATTTAGGAAAATATCCTATCTTATCTCAGGATAGGAATTTAGTTATTATAGAGCTGTACTAAGTAAGGGATTTGCCAAGTTAGAAATCCTAAGTTAGGATGGCATAGACCCTGTCCTAAGGTTATAGTAGCTGCTAAAATGGCAGCAGCACTGTTCTTAGGTCTGTATAGCAAAGACAATAAAGATGGGGAACAGCATGAACACTGAAATATAATGATTTAAAGGCTACTCAGACTGTAGGACGATGCTTTTAATTTCAACTAAAATTTCAGATAAATAAATATGAATTCATAATTAATTTAAGAAGAAGAAGAGAAGAAACTTTCAAAATTATGGGATTTCCTTGTCTCCACTGACACAGTTAGTGCCTCCCTGTAGCTAATATTAAACGCCTGTGGGGTTGTTGTTGTTGTTTTTTGTTCACGATAGCAAGTTTCCTAGCCAGTGATAAACGAGAGCCATTGATATTATCGCATGTCTCTTTTGAGTAGCTTACGGGTGGATTGGATTTCTTAAGATAGGAGATATGAGATAAAATAGGACACAGCTGTGAGTTTAGGGATTGCTTTTGTAACACAAAGATCAGATTTTTCCTCTTTGAAACTTAAGTTAAAATAGGACAAGGCTTAGGCAATGTCAGTTTTTTTCATGACTTCCTAAAATTTCACCGGGCTATATGGTATAAGACAGTATTTGTGTGCAGCGCAAGCTTGCTGGACAACTACTTACAGGACTGTAACGTTATCTGCAGTCGCCATGTCTGCCAGTTCAGCTGCCTGTTCCACCACTAGAGACTGACCTCTGGTGGTGTGCCATGTGCACTACATACAGTACATCCTCACTGCAACATCTCTCTATGAATTTAATAGAAAGATGAACGTGTGTAATTTTTTATGGTTTTCAGAATCATACCGTCTAGAAATACCATTGTGTACTGGCAAAAAAAAAAAAATTAAAGATAAATTAAAAGCTTTCTAAGTAAATGAAGGATAGATCAGTATTTTCTGTCTGTGTGTGTGTAAGATGTTGTTACAGCAGCCTACCCACAATGACTTTGGCCAGGCCCAGCAGCAGCAGCAGCACCCCCAGCAGCAGGGCTCAGGCAGGCCGGCCCAGCAGAGTCAGTCAGGGGTGATCAGGCAGCTCTCAGGCCACCCTAAACCACCGTCCTGCGGGGCCCACAGCTCATCCCCTCACTCACTCCTGAGAGAGAACAGCTCGCCCTCAACGCAGGTACACAGCTGCACATGACAAACCCAAGTCTGAAACAACTGTCAGAAAACTGTTCGAACACAGCTGTCTAGAAAGGGAGAGGATGATACTGAGTCGGATTACCTTCAGTCATTAGCCTCTAATGATGAGTAGCCTGCTTCAGCACTCACAGCACAACAGGAGGCAGGTTATGGAGTCAGCCGTTAATGTCAGTCAATTATTGAAAGATACACACATCACAACAACAGGTGGTAGTGTCGTGTTCAGCTTCTCAGCCATATGCTGTTTGCAAGTTGTCCTTGTTTGCACTGGAGCAAAAAGTCATAGTAATGCAATCCTTAATTTCTTGATGTTTCAGGTGATGGTATTTAATAATCCCCACTTTTTAAGCTTCTGCCTCATTAGGAGGAGGAAGCGTCTACACATTTGATATTGATTTAATTTGACTGGTGGGTTCTGTAGTTTTTACATGCTGAGTGTGTTTCCTTCATTTTATCTCAGGTCCAGCAGAGGATTGCGCGGAGTGGGCAGGCGCAGTCGGTGAGTGTACCCGTGCAGACGAACACAAGTGTGACGATGCCCTTCTACAGCAACCCCATGATGTTCTCTCAGACCAACACGAGGTCTCTACAGGATGCAAACCAAAGACACACGGACAGCGAGTTCAGCCAAGATGGACAACTACGGTGAGAAACAATGGGCTCTATTTAAACAATCTGTAGTGTATGGTCTAAAGTGCATGGTGCAAGTGCATTTAGGTCCAACTCCACGCACAATCCGGGTGCAAAGGAAGACGCAAGGTCCAAAAGGCTTGTATTCAATCCCTTAATTAATCATAGGTGTGTTTTGGGTATTACATTAATTCAACCAATCAGAATGTCTCCAATTCCCTTTAAAATACAGGTGCACCCTTATTTTAACAGTCTATGGGTGCACCTGCTCCTGGCACACTGCTCTTTACGCGTTGGATTTGTAAATGCGCACGGCGTATCTCTTAATGGGGAGTTGGACAGCAGCTCTGCTCTCTGCTATGTTCACATTTTAGTTAATGTAATTACTGTTTTCCTCATTAACGCTTTATTATGTCACCTACCTGCAACCCATCCGTGCGTCCCTGTGTGTGTCAAAAGCAGATTATACACACGTCGTGACCCCACCTGTGTAGACACATCTTACTTCCTGAATAACGCTGCCTTTAGATCGCAGGGAAATACTGCACCATTCTGACTTTAGACCAGGTTTTTGTTGGTAAACGGCGCAGTCGCTTTCTGCTGCCTCAAAATAGCAGTATGACAACAATATGCCCGACCACCTCATTTCAAGACCTTAACACCCATGGGTGCACAGATGGGTCCAAGTACAATGTTGGTGCTTGCCTTGAAAATGGCAACTGCATCGGTTGGAAACCAGCGATGACAGTTGCACTGCGCTTTGCGCCACTTTGCACCAGGTGTAATATAGGGCCCATCATGTTTCACATCATGAAATGTGAAATTCAGCCACTCAGAACCAGGGGCAACACTGACAACATGGCAGACACTGTGGAAAAATACAAATATGCAGTCAGTTTTATGAACAGTGTATGCAGTCCCACACTCCTTGTATTTATGTGTTGTACCTTGATATCTGAAAATGCTCTCTGCCATCCTGCTTTGGGTTTTTTTTTTTTTTTTTCGCAGTACAGATTAAGTTCTTCTAGTAACAGATTTAATTTCCTGCAGCATGCTCCTCAACCAACCAATGCAGACTCTGGTTCCCACTAGCAGTGTCACCACACAGCCTTCCCAGTGCAACATGGGCATCTCCCAAACCATGTGAGAACTGTTTAATTACACTGCAGACACACACACACAAAAAAACTCACACGCACACACACCAGTCCGTTTGTGTGGAGTTATTTCATATTGTGCTTAAGTTCTTTGTTGTGTCCTCCAAACAGATACACCCTGGAGCAGCAGATCATCGGCCCTTCATTCTCCATGCAACAGGTCAACTGCAACGCCGTCCTTGTGCCCTCCCCGGTCTTCACGTCCCCCATAATGATCCCACACAACAATTTCATCACAAACCAGTCGCAGTCAGCCTACCACACTCAGCCTCAGGCTTCTCAGCACTCCCTGCAGCTACAGCAGCCCCACCAGTTCTTTCAGGTACCATGTCCAGCGTCTGTGTTGTGATGCAGCAGTGTGTAAACTGTTTTATTTTTCTAGACTTTCACTGCAAATAATATGTGCTGGCCTTTTGTATAGTGCTGCTCAGTGTAATTACCCACGGCTTTATATTTACGGAGTTATGAGCATTTAAGGCATAACACTGCATCTGAGTCCCCAGTTACCACAGCAACAAGCTGCTGTGTAATTCTCATAGGCTGTTAGAGATCTGTGTTATTTTCAGTCATTGTAAAAATGATTTTCTCTAGACTTGCTTGTCATCTTTGTCCAGAGTGGACTACACAAGTGTGCCACTGTTAAAAAATCTACAACAGATAAATAGTGAAACACTGTTCATAAGTAGCTTACCTAAATCCCTCGACACTCCAAAGAGAATATTGCATCAGTTTATTTAGAGTGTCACAATGTGTCGTCCCTCAGAGATCAGAGATGCTTCAAATTGATCTCTCTAACACTGCTGAAGTCATAGAGGCATAAAGGACTGTACAGAAATGATTTGGATCGGTAGGTTATAGTTTTTTGGCTAAAATTTTAAGGGAAGCAGGAGGACAACAATCAAGTCTCTGCATTAAGGCTTTATTTTCTAGCAGCTTGAAGCACCAATGTGTGAGTTCAGAGAAACAGTAGATGTGGATATTCAGGGTCAGCAGGGATTGAACATTGTTTCTCTAAAATGCACACTTTATTCTGCATTATAACAGAACTATACTAAAGTTAATGTCATATGGAATTAACCTGTAACATAATGCATCTTTAGCACGCCCCAGTGTGTTCTACCAATGGGTGAGAGGAAAATATTATGGTGCTGAGGCCCTTAGGCAGCTACAGAGCTGCTGCCTGTTGCTGTGGTAATAACTGTGTTTAGTAGCTGTAGGAGAGCAACTGGAATGCTCGGCACTGTTTATGTGTTTACCATCATTTTTGGCAATGTCACTCCTAATGTGCGATTTGGGCATTTAAAAAATGACTGCTCCAATAACATTTTAAGCTTGAAGTCAGCAGTGGTGGGTAAACAAAAGGTGCTCAAGTGAAAGTACAGTTGGTTTATATTAAACTGACTCATGTAGGAGCAGAAGCACTCACTAAAATAAGAACTTGAGTGCTTAGAATAAAAAAGTATCTTGAAAAACTACTCAAGTAGTGAGTAACTTTATAAGATGCAATTTATTACATCAATGCATTACATTCAAATGAGTCCTCAACACATAATAAAAACGAAAGCGAAGTGCACGTTATTGTCATTCAAGTGCCAGAACCAGACAAATGACAAAATACTGTATGTGCTGTTTAGCAAAACGACAAAAAAACTGTGTCATTTACTGGATCCCGAGGCCTGGATACAGTCACAGGCTGTGTGTGTGTGTGTGTGTGTGTGTGTGTGTGTGTGTGTGTGTGTGTGTGTGTGTGTGTGTGTGTGAATACATTCAGCGTCCAAAATAAAAACCTTCGTTCCATCTGCAGTGCTATGATTGACTCGTAGGCTCTTATCTCTTGCTGTCAGACCATCACTGTCATGCATGCGAGCTCAACTGAGTATAAAAAATATTTTAAGCTTAATGCACCAGTAAACACAGTGAAAACCCAATGTCATGGAGTAGTAAAATATATATTTTATCCCAAATGTACTCGAGTGAGAACAAGGGTGCTTTCACGCCTGTAGTTTGGTTCATTTGGTACTGACAAGCAGGCAACAATTATACTGTTGCATTTAAGTGCTGGTCTGGTTCCTGTTCACACTAACTTTTTACAAACAAACCACAAGGCGTAAACATGAAGTTACATCATCATGGCAGTTTTAACAGCTGTGTAATCAGAGAAAATACTTATGTGCATGTGTGTTACCATGGTTACACGTATGCATTAGCATAAATAGGTAATAGACCATACAGATCAATACAGATAAATTATAAGGTCATGGACAGATTTCATGATCAGCACATGGATTTACTTATAGTTTAGCTATCTGCCTTCATAAAATCCTGTGGTTAGTGTGTCTTCTTTCACACCAAATGAACGGCACCAGAGTCTGTTTGGAAACAGACCAAGACCAAGTGGTCTCAATCGGTCGTTTTGACCACACCAAGGTTTGATTGACAGCTTTCACAGCAGCCCAAACGAACCGTACTAACCAGACAAACGAAGTTCATTTTAACCAATTCAAACAGGTTGGGTATGAAACTACTCATTTGCAAGACAGCTACATGTAACAGTGTAAATGTAATGCATTACATCAAAACTTTCTGTACAGTCTGTAAGGTTAAACTCTTATGTTTCTTCAGATCAAAAGAATAGAATGAAAAGAAACAGCTTCATTTATACTGCATGCTGACTTGTCTCGTGCACCAGTCTTTGAGCATACAGCATGCTGGCATTGTTATTGCAGACCATTTCTCAGCAGGATGAAATGGCTGTGTTCATGTTTGGTATCAGAAATAAACTTCAGTCACACTGATGATGTTTCAGTCTCACTCCACTCATGTTTACCTCCCTCTTTCGGTACTGCAAAGTACAGCTTAATCTTCAGATATGGCACCTGTGTTGACACTATTTGTCATGCATCTCAGTCAAGAATTAGATTGGCAACAGTTCAAGAAATATTCATATGGTCTTTTGTGTCCACAGATGGCTCAAGGACTTGTACATGGTGGATCTACTCCAGCATTCTTACACACCACTAATGTCCCACAGCAAAGCACTGTGGGATACATCCAGCAGCAGCAGCAGCAAACACAGCAACTTCCACAAGCACAGCAGCAACAGGCACAACAGCAACAAAGGCAATACCAACATTCCCAAAACCAGACTGGCAGTGTTTCGGACTTCAGAAATATGCTGACTCGGTAGCGCTGTGGACCGTGTTAGAGCGCTGAGATCTCCCTCTGTGCTGTCGCCGTGTAGGCGGCAGCATGTCGTGGCATCCGGAAGTTGAACCTGACCTCAGGTTCTGTGGCGGAATTGCCTAAAAGTGGAAAATTACTTCTAGTGACCTTACTGTTGATGTGAAGCCGCCCGTTCAGAGGAAGCCGATCTGTGCATCACTGCTGTGAAAACCACAAGCAGAGGCTGCACCGACCTGATGTCACCGAGCCTGAGGTGCTGGGGCCTTCATCGCCGGCCCACATCACGCTCAGCTGTCGATCGGTGAAAATACTGGAACAAGTGGATTATCAAAGCTCTCGAGAAGACACCACTTTCACATGTTTCCATGTGGACATTTTTTCACCTGAGAGTTTCATTTAAAGTGGATGTTTGCACTTTGGTACCACCCTGTACCCAAAAGTAGAGTATTTGTGCCCATGAATTAATATTCTGTTTTCTTCACTAATAATGGCTTGACATTATACAGCTTGATATCCCTCCCCCAGTGACATACAATCATCATCCCTGGTCAGATTTTTAGCCCCAGTGTAACTGTTTCATCTCATAAAGGGATTTGTGTGGTGGAAACTCGACATCAGATGTCGCTCCCATATGTCCCCAAAATAATACTTGCAGGTATGTTCATGGCAAGTCAGCAGAGAGAGATTTTATTGTGAAACACACAGCGGTGAGTGCACTGTCATATCTACAGTCAAGCTCAGTATGAATTCAGATAAAACACGCTCCACTGGTTGCCGAGGGGAATATTCTCCAATTACTAGAAAGGTCTATCTAGATTTTTAAAGCCTCAATCTGGGAAGAAGGGATGCTACAACTGTCCCACCATTTCTCACTGAGAAGGACAACAAAGCTCTGAAGTCCTGCTGAAGGTGCTTCTGATGAGCTCTGCAGTGTGAGTCCTTCAACAAGCTACCAGAGGGGGAACAAATTGTGCCTTTAACCATGGTCTGCCCATGGTGCGGTTTGATGGTTGTGTCTGATTACGGCTTTAAAAATCCAGCTCAGGTCCATTTGGAATACAAAGGTATATTTTCATAGGTCATAATGTATTATTTTCCACATCAGATTTAAACAGAAGTCATTTAGATTTGTAATGGATGTATTACAGATTATATATTGGATGCTTTTCGCAACCTTTACATCAGTAAGTCCAAACTCTTTTTAAAACTTTCTGTAATGATAGGAGCTGATAAGATTCATTTAACCCTAAATCACTTCATGTTTATTTATTTACGTATATATTTGAAAAAATATGTGATATTAAGAAACTAGTTTTATACACAAAGGTTCTAATTGATTTTATGAGTTCATTTGGACATTAAAAGGTCAGCGCTGGTCTGAATGGTCTAATGCAGGAACACTCACAGTCATTTCTTATACACAATACAACAAGGTTTTGCAGAAGTGTCGGTTGGTCAGGGTGGGAAATGATTTGGGATTGATTCTGCCCACTGCCTGGATATTTTTTTTTAACAGTATTACCCTTTTTATTCTGCATTCCTCTTTATTTTGGTCTTTGTTTCGTTTGGTTTATTTGACTGTCTGAGAAGTCACTAAATGTATACTCTAACCGTGACCAAATGAGCTCATTTACAAGTAAACAAGACATCACTTTCTACTACAAATGTGATCTCATCGAAAAACAAAAAATACTCTAACAGATCACAATTTTCCTAAAAATATAGCAATCTACAAAACTTTCAAGGGGACATGGGGAGAAAAATATAAATGGGTGAAAAAAAGATTGGGAAGGCAAAGATAGGTGGGTAAAAAAAATATTGGGGAGAAAAAATGGGTAAAAAACATGAGGGAGAAAAAATAAATGGGTGAGAAAAGATTGGGGAGAAAAATGATGGGTGAAAAAATAGATGGATAAAAAGATGGGTAGAAAAATAAAAATGGTTGAAAAAAGATTGGGACGGAAAAGATAGCTGGGTAAAAAAAATGGGTGAGAGATGGGTAAAAATGGGTGAAAAAAGATAAAGGAGAAAAAATGATGGGTGAAAAAAAGAGAGAACACAAAGGTTTTGCAGGGGAACGCAAACATCTCTTGGGAGCAGGTAAAAATATTTCTTTTTGTCACCCATTTTTTCTTTTTACCCATCTGTTTTTTTCTCTCCCATGTCCACTTAGAAACCTCCAATGCATCGTTGCTTAGAATATCATACTGCTGCTGTGTTATACACAAACACTACATCTGACATTATTTCAACAGATTTTTTTTAATCATCTGGAAGTTGCTCAAGTTAATTGCAGAGTCAGTCTTGTCAGTATTTCAAGACGTTACAATCTTGTTCTTTTCATACTTTTAATACTTTCTGTATGACAATCTTTTGAGTCCATCATATTTTGAGATCTTCTGGTGAAACTTTCTGCAATATGTGCAACTGTAACTGTACTCCTATCTCAAACAGTCATTTTTAATATTAAGGTAAGCAGACGTTAAGGTATTTATCGACACGAGTTGTTCTTCAGAGACAGTGTTGTCAGATTGCAGGGCTGCCATAATGGTTAGAGGGTTTGGAGTGTGCTGGTGAAGGCAGATTAAACACACTAAAGAGCATGCATGCATCTCTCTCCTGTTAATGACAATCAGACAACTCGTAACAGTGAGCTGTACAGAAGCCTGTGCCACAGTCTGACTTCATCATTTTAAATTTGAAAAGCTTCTATCTTTTAATCCCTGGGTTACATAGTTGTTCCCAGCTCAGCAGGAAAAACAGTTTCTTGTGACTCAGTGTTTCCTTAAAGTCTCACTGTGGGAACTTGTGCAACACTTTATAAAAAGCAGCCCTTCATGCTCAGTATGACAGTTTGGTCTCAGCTGTATACATTCAAGTTAGCAAGACTGGTGCTGCTCACAGTGGACGACAACGCTCAGCATGTACGTTCAGTGCCGATTTACACTTTCCTACGTGCAATGTCAATTTGAAGAAGAAGAATGTTAATTTATACTGTTTTAAATGTTTCACAACAGATGTACGATGTATATAGAGGTGTATAATAAGCCATTGTAACATGTAAATTATATGGAAGTATTTTTTTAATGAAAATGTCCTAACATTCCTCCAACCGTTGATATCAGCAGTATCTTTTCTTAAGGTATCAGATGTGTCCTGCGGGAATGTGGTGTTAGTTTTTCCCCAAACACGATAACAGAACAGAAACTCTAGAGTAAGTGGTCATGTTTTCACAATGATTAAATGAAGAATCTGAATTTCAGACACTTTAAGTGTGTGCAGGAACAGCTCTGTGGTCTTTATAGGGTAGTTCAGCCAAAAATGACTCAAGTTAACCTGCAAAAAGTCATTGTCCTTTTTTTTTCTCAGTTTAATCGGTTACAGTTGTTTAGCTTTTAAGAAGTGCAATTGTTCATCATCATTCAAATCAGTGTGTTAGACAGCTGAGGGAAGTCTGCCTTTCCCATTATGTATTTCTATACATCCACATTCGGTATAGCAAAAGTAAAGTGATTGCCCATGTAAGTTCAGCTCAGCCAGCAACTCAGAGGTGCCATAGATGACTATATTTTATATTTTCCTTCATTTCTCAATTTTATGTCAGTCACTAAAAGAAATCTAAAGACATTTTTTATTCAGTGGCAGTTAAAGTTCCCCTTGAGGTTGTTTTCCATCTAAACACATCACCCAGAAAAGATTTCAGTCCATGTTTGTCTACAAAATAACTGTTATCATTTTGTTGTTTGCCTTGTAAAGGTGGTGGAGGGAAATCCTGCTCATCGCACTCAGCTGTGAGTGACTCATGTTGAGATAGTTCATGCATTGTGCTCCAGATGTGGGTTAAGCCCTAAATTATTTCGCTTTTGACAAATCACCCACCACACGTTTAGATGCAAGATGATTTTTAGGTTTTTTTCAGGTGTGTACTGCTTCACAGATGTTATTGTAAATAATCCATCTGCTCTGTAGGTACTGTTTTGCTTTGTCCCCAACAGTAGTTGCTGCACCTTTTTTTTTTCCCTTCAACTTTCAGAGTGCTTTTCTTCTTTGTGGGTTTTTTTTCCATTGAGTGTCATTGAAGGCGTGTGATTTGAATCACAGATAACTTGTACTTTTCTGATTTGTAAAAAAAAGTGACTGACACCTTAAATGTAAGTGTGGGCAGTCGGATCAATGCTTTCTGTGTCAGATTTGCCAGGACATGAACAAAACCGACCTGGTGCACAGCCATTTCTGCAGTTTCAGTGCAGAAACAAACATTGAATATATTGTATAATAGAATGTAAAAAAAAGTTTAGACTATATATAGTTGTTTATTTTATATGTCTAATAGATTACATATGTATGTTACATGATTTTAAAATTAAAGTAATTTTGTAACAGATAATGAAGTGTCTTATTAGAGGACGTGAGGCTTTTTTCGCGTTTCAAGTTAGTGTTGCACAGTCACTTGTATGGCTTGTTTTCTTTCTGTATTTACCATCAAAATAAGCTTTAAAAAATATTGTTAATATTGTTTTAAAAGAAAATAACAAATTAAGTTTACATTCTAAAATATCTTGATATTAATTATGTTATATTGAATTATTTATAAATCAACCTGGATATTGTGAAATATATGAAAATAAATATTTTTAAACATATGATTTGTTATTCTGAGCAAACTGTTTATGTAGAAAAATATTTCTGTGCAGGACTGTTCCTCGACTGTGTGTTCTCGGTGCAAAGACACGAATTTTCACATCAGAGAGCCGGGCTAGTATTAATCTATGATAAAAGCTTTGACATCAGTATAAAATATTGTGCAACATGACACAAGTCATGTGTCACACAGCAGAGGGGAGCCCATGTGAACCAGTGTCACACCTCCCTGTGATCTGATTTGTAATTCATGTCAATCATCCAAAATACCATTCACCTCTCAAAATGACACGTCTGCAGCGGCAACTTGCTGGTTAGAGGAGCTAGTATGTTGTCAGCTGACATTGTAGCAAGAAGCATCTGTCTGTACATACACAATAAATTCTAATGAATGAAATATGCAATGTCAGGTATTTCAGTATTTTTATCAATCACAGAGCATTTTCCTCTTGAAAAGCATTATTTAAACAATCTTGTGACATTTCCGTACATATATAACAGGTATATTTACAAGTATCAAATTGAGGTTTGGTCCAAAACTTTTGCTTTTTCTATCTAAAATAACTTTCTAACAACATGATTAATGTATTCTGATAATAACTACAAGATGCAGTCAGAGTGCTGAGTACTCCTAAATGTACCTCCTAGTCGAGAGAAACCTCTGTGACTCTGTACACTTTGCTGATCAGGACCTCCACCTTGTCTCCACCCAGATGGCAAAGGTCCAAGATGCACACAACATGAGTATCCTCCAGCTCACCAGCAGTCGCTAGGACCTCCTCTGCAACACAAACATTGATTCTAATATCACCATGATATTTGTATCAGTGATAAAAAAACCTCCCAGGTCTGTTATAAAAACGTGTGTCATGGCGGAATAGTATGGTCTTCCCCTCCACCAGTGTGGTGGCTACCTGGCTCGGGAAGTGCTGATTCGCTGTGGCTGGCGGTGTCACTGAGCGGACAGAGGAAGCCTGACGAAAGGCACGACAGCATGGTGTTGCCGTGGGGATCCTGAGGAAGACCTACAGCCCGGGGCTCATCTGAGCTCACAACAGGAAAATATGCAGCATCAACGGCGATCTGCTTGTTTATGCCTGTCGAAAAGATTTAAAAAAAGAAGAGTGGAAACAGATTTTGGTGGTTATCAGAACTGTTCTTAGCCAATCTGACAAGACAAAAGCATAAGTCATTTTTTTAAAGATGTTTCAGGTCATTTAGCTCATCTTTTGATGTTGGTTTTCAGCCCTAACTGTAGGCAGGCTCTAAAGGCAGACCGTAGAGGTAGTGCGTTCATTCAGAGGGTTACATACAGAAGTGTTTTTAGGCCCCATGTTCACCAAAGCATTTTTTTCCAATGAGAACGCCAGGCACACCTCAGGAAACACCCAGCTGGGAGCACTTGAGACCACTTTGGAGGTGCGGCATCTTTTCAGCTGAGACACTTTGGTTGCTTTGATACGATATCCACAGAACTAAAAATGTCGGCACGAGGTAGAGTACTTGCTCTGGATGAAGGGGAGGCTGAAGAACGTAGGGAGAGAGGATGGACCTGCTGATCTATGTGGGTTCACGTGAGGAAACCTAGACACAGTATCAAATTATTTCTCCTCTATTTTTGTTTCTGTACGTGTAGAACGTGACAGTTGGGTGGGAGGGTAAAAAGCCACAGTGACTAGTGCAGTGTTTTACCCAAAGTTGAACATGTTTCAACTCTCCACACCCAGAAAAGAATAGACACTCAGCACCTCACCATACGTCATACAGACTTTAGGAAATAAATGCTTTGGAGGACACGGCCCCTGAGCATGTTAAAGCTGCAGTTTGAAGACAACACCATGTTTAACTACACAGCTTGGTGAAAATGAAATAGAGAATATAGAAAAAAAACGTTTAATAAGGCTGCTCCTCCTAGTAAAACAGTTCCATGAATTTTGGTATTTTCGAAATGTGACTCAGACCTCTGACTGTGCAACTTGGTTTCCACTGACAGCAGGTCTCAACCTCACACTGACTCACTGATGACGTGAAGGTAATACAATAAAAACATAAAGGTCAGTTAGCTGTCTACACCCATTCAGGACTAACTGAATGAGACAGCAATTTTTGTTCATTTGGGAGAGTTATTCATAAAAAAATAAAAAATAAAAAATAAAACCCAGGCCTCCATCCTCT